CCCCGACACGCGGCCCGGGCGGGTTCTGAGCGCTCCCCCGCAGTCCGCCCGCGGCCCTGCGTCTGCACGTTCCCCACTCGCGGGCCGCGGCGGCGAGGCGGCGGGGCGGTGGGGCCTGACTTCCCGGGAAGCGCGCTGTGATGTTCCCGGGTTCGAAGAGGACGAGGGAGAATCCTCTCCGCCGCTGCCCCTTCAACCTGAAAGAGCGGCGGGTCGTCTGGGCGTCGGAGACGCTGTCTCTCTAAGGGGAAGGGAAAGCGCCTTCTCCGCGGGGATCCCTGCTCCTTAGCGTGCCGGGTCTGACTTTCTGGGGGAGGGGCGGTCAACACAGTGAGAGCTAGAATTTATTCGCCCTTTGCTCTAAGCACGTGGCACCCACGATTTTATTTAACATCCTGTCTCCTGGGTGCTTGTGGGGAATCAGGTTAATGAAGACAGGGCACCTAGCGAGGCGGATACCGTGACCTCCCTGTTTTACGGAAGGGGAAACCGAGGCAGGGGAGTGCCAGCCGCTCGCCGGAGGTGCAGCCCACGGGGGCTGAGGCAGACAGGACACGGGGCCGTGGGCCTGGACGGTGGAGACGCCCACAGCCTCCCGGGGCGCGGTGCCCACGTCCGGGCCAGCCTGCTCCCCCTGCCTGCACCCCTCCCTCTCTCCTCCTCCTCCTCCTCGGAGAAGAACACGGAAGGGAAGGGTCCCGCCCGAGGCCCCGGGGTGCCTGGTCTTTCTGTCTCCCGGCCTTGAAGTAGCATCTCCAGAGGTACGAGCGGACTGGAGCGTGTCGGCCCTGGGGTGGTTTTAATTTTGCTCAGGGGCCCAAGGGTGAAGTAGGGAGACAGGGGTGGTGGGTGGTCACCGTCCTGAGTCTGGGTGAGCCCGTGTAGGTGGCGTCCAGCACCCGGTGGGGCAGCGACTGCCCTCGGGAGGGTCCTTCCTCCTCGGTCCCTGGAGGCGGTGCCCGCCCCCCCCGGGGACGCTGTCCTCCAACGTGGACTGTCCCGGGCACCCGCCCCTGCCCCCGGCCTCGTGCCCACGCCCCCTGCACAGCCAAGACCGACTCTCTCCACCTGGACTTTCCAAGATACAGACGGCCCGCACCGCCTCCTCTGTCCTCCTGCGCCCACACGCCCGGCTGGGCGGCGCCCGCCCGCCCGCCCCCTGCGCCCACTCCCTCCGTGTGGCGTCGGGGCTGCTGCTCACGTGTCCGGTGCCTCTCGGACGACGGGCCCCCCGTCTCACCCACGGCCGCGCTCAGGGCCCTGTGGCGGCACAGGAGGCAGCTCCCACAGCTCTCCTCTTCCGACTCCCCAGCTTTGCCCGAGTGGCCGGCACCTCCTCGCCTGGGGCAAAGCCACGCGGAGTGCTGTGAGGAGAAAGTGGCTGGGGCTGCTGGAGGCTGGGTGGGCGTGTGAGGTGCTTAGCGCGGCGGCTGGTGTGTGAAGTGCGTCGTCGCCACCGTCCACCCACTCATCCACCCACTCACCCACCCACCCATCCATCCATTCATCCATCCATTCATCTGCCTATCCATCCACTTATCATCCTTCCATCCTTCCATCCATCCATCATCCATCATCCATCCATCCATCATGCCATCCATCCATCCATCCATCTGTCCATCCATCCATCCTCCATCCTCCATCCTCCATCATCCATCTGTCCATCCATCCATCATCCATCATCCATCATCCATCCATCATCCATCCATCACCCACCCACCCACCCACTCAGTAACCGCATGCAGAACTGGTGCTCCAGGGTCTGTGATCAGCCTGCCCAGTTCCCACCTTGACCCTGACCCTGGCCGGCGGGTGACCTGTGTCTCGGGATCTCCCTGTCTCCAGCAGGCTGACAGAGCGCTTGCCCGAGATAATCTTGGGAAGACACGCAGCAGCTGGCAGTCGTCACCACTGTCCCAGTTACTGTCCCCCCTCCGAGGCCCACTGCTGGGTGCTGGGCGCAGCCTGGGCCCCGTGGGGTTTTCCGGGAGCCCCCCCTGCCGTGGCCTGTGCTCCCAGCCCGCACAGGAGGGGCCCGCCTGACAGTCCCTGCGGCACACTCTGCTCTCACCACGGACGGGACCTCGTCACACCCCCCCCACCGCGACCCCCCACGGGTTGAGTTTCCTGCCCTCTCTGCGCTGGGAGGCTGCCGGCCCGCGACGGAAGCCCACGTGAGCTGGGCCGGGTGCAGCCCCGTCGCACGCAGCCAGGGGGGTCTCTGCGCCGGCCGAGGGCCCTTTCTGCTCCCCGAGCCCCGGCACGCAGCGGGGGGTAGCTGTGGCCGAAGGCAGGAGGGGTGAGTGGGGGCAGGTGACCTGGGACAGTCGCCTTCTGTGGGCTTCGCACCCCAAACGGGCGTCCACGTTCCTGGGGCTAAGGCCACCTGCTGAGCGACCTCCAGGTCAGGACAGCCCTGACTCTGGGGAACCCTGCACCCCCTGGGGACGGGCCGGGGACAGGCAGGCGCCTTTGGGGCGTCAACCTGCGGGCTTGGTGCGGCCCCCGGACTCGGTGGTCTGCGTCCGTGTGGGCGCCGGCGGGGCTCCGGCCCCCGCCCCGGCCCCGGGGAGCAGTCTGTCCCGCTGTGGCCCGCACCCACCCCGGGCAGACAGGTCTGCCCCCTCGTCCAGCCATCCCCAGGCACTCGGGAGCAGGGTCGCTGGCTCCAGGCGGGCCCACCCCGAGACCCCCACCCCGAGACCCCCACCCCAGACGCGGCGACGGCTCTCCCCGGTGCCGCACGCGTGTTTTCCGTGGGACTGGCGTTGCAGCGGCACACCCGGCCCGGCGGAGCTGACGCGCTGACCCCGGCACTGCGTGTTTGGGGTCATGCCCGGCTTTGAGGCCCACGGCTGAGACCCGGTTTCTTTCGAGGCCTTTCAAAACGTTCCATTCCAAACGTGCTGTTTTTACGTCTCCTCAGAGTGACAGAAAAGGAGCGTTACACACACGCAAACACACACACACACACGCACGCACGCACATAAATACCTCCAGAGAGTCTTCCCGAGTAGGGACCATCAGGAAATAAGTTTTCACCTGTGGGAAACCCTTTCCTCTTCCGTGTTTAACGCACTGGAGGCCGGCCTGGGTTCGCCCTGGATCACCGTGCCCGCCTCGCCGGTGTTCCTCGACGTGGTCCCCAGACAGCCAGGCCCCCGGCCCCTGAGTGGCCCCGGCCCCGCTGCCCAGCTCCAGGGTTGCTGCTGCGAGGGCGAGGCCGGCCTCCGTCGCCGGGCTCCTCCTCTTCAGGGCCTGCCCTGCCCTCAGGGCGCTGTCCCTCTCAGGACGGGCTCAGTGACCGGGCCCCCAGGTCCTTGCCCAGCGGGGCCTGCCGCCGTCACGACCCGTGGACAGCTCGCTCGGTCTGCTCGCTCAGTCTCCCGGGGCGGTGGGACTGGCCCCTGCTGGTGGCCTTCGGTCAGAACTTGAGTTTGGATTCTGACAGCCGGAGCCCGGCCACTGCAGCTCTGTCCAGCTGCGCGACTCTGAGGGCAGACACGGCGGGGGGGGGGGGGGGTCTGGCACCGGGAAGCCCCAAGCCGGCCAGCCCCTCCTCGGGTCGGCAGACCCTCAGTCCCGTGCAGGTCTGCAGCCTGCTTTGTATGCGTGTCCTTGCCAGGGCAGCAGGCTCTGGACGGACCCTCTGTCCGGGCACGATCTGACCCCAGCCCACCACCCGGAAGGACCCAGTTCTGGTCCCTGGCCGCTCCGTTCCGCAGAGACAGTGCCAGCGCCAGTCCGGGCTCACGCCCGACCAGGCCCAGCACCGGGCTGCCAGGAGCCACAGAGCCGGGGCCAACCTCGCACCCTTCCCGCACGTGACTCCTCTGAAACTGGACAGCAAGTGACCCCGCCCCCTCGGACTCTGCCCGGCGGCCTCGCCAGGTGGGCAGGCAGCCACCTCTGCGTGGAGACGGCGCTCGCATCTGCTGGGAAAGCAGGAGGAGGGAGAAAGTTCTCTCTCTCCTCCCTCAGTGCACGAGGGACCAGCAGCAAACTATGGAACGCAGTTTATTTTTAATAAAATAGTGCAGCAGGAAAGTATCCTACAGCCGCGCAGGCACGAGCAGGCCCGAGCCCGGGCGGCGTGGGGGAGGGGTGGCCGGGCCCCGGGCCGGGGCTTCTTGATCTATTCATGGAAACCATTTGTTTGACAATAGAAAGAGTCGATAAGCCCTTTGGGTGCTTTTGAATGGCCCCTCTCCCCTGGCCCCTCCCCCCCACAAACCAGGGCGACCCTCCAACGTGGGGCTTGGTTTCCATTAAAAAGCCACAAAATGTAACGCTGAGGGGTTTCCGAGGGCCGGGCCCCTCGTTCCTTTGTGAGGGGGTTTCTTTTGTTGTCTTTATACACAGCCAACGACTTGCCTCTCTCTCTATGTTCACGGGGAGAGAAAAACGTACCGCACAGCCCCGGCCTTCGCACACGAGAGGTTTGGGGGACGTTTCCGTGCCTGGGAAGGAGCGTTTGCGGAGGCCGGAGTCTGTTTCGGGGGGCTGCAAGCCCTCCGGGGTGTGCTGAGCTGTCAGGGCTTCTCCCCTCTCCTGCCTGCACAGGAGTCCCGTCTCCGAGGCGGCCGTCCTGAGGGTGGGCCCCCGGGGCGGCGCGGGCAGCGGTGAGGGGACCCTCCCCGCCTCCCTCTCCCTCCCCCTCCCCTCCCTCTGCAACTCAGAAGCCCTTTAATTTGCAAACAAGCTCTCTCTCCTCTGATTTGCAAATGAGTAGCTAAGCCAACTCAAACACACACAGACCTACGTATATTTACCGAGGCTTCTAAACAAAAGTTTTCTTTGGGGGCTGAATCCACTCCTTCGCCGCAAATTAGCGACACAAGAGGCTACCTCGCGGGGCGCCCCACTCCCCCCGAAAACCCCAGGAGCGAAAACCAAACCCTCTCCTGCCGGTTTTCCTGCCAGTGCGTCGCAGCCTCCTGCGTTTCAGGGCACAAACTTTTTATTTTTTTTTCTCTTTTACTTTTATTAAAAAAAAAAAAAAACCCACCCGACCGGCCCACCGGCGGAGCAGAGCACCGGGCCAGGCTCTCGGCCCCCGGGAGCCCTCCGGGGGGGGGGGGCGCGTTCCGCTCCCGCCCCCATCCCCCAGCACTTCACACACAGGTGGGGGGCTGGGCCGGGACCTCGTATTTCCCCAGGTACGTTTTCGGGGGGTGCTGGGCTTTTTTGTAAATCCCACCGTGGGCGATGACGCTGGCGGGTTTCCGCCTGTTCCTCTTCTTGAAGCGGCGGCTGCAGACGCCCCGCCAGGACTGCAGCGTCTTGGCGGTCCAGATCCACACGCCGCTGGTGATGCCCACCACCAGCAGCATGAAGATCTTCACCAGGAAGATCTCCACGGCGGGGATGGAGGCGGCCAGGAGGCAGTCCAGGCTCTTGGTCTGGTTGTTGACCCGGCACTTGCGCTGCGCGGCCAGCGCCTGCCAGTACTCCATGTTGAGGCGCTCGTAGAAGTAGCAGGCGATCACGCAGGTGGCGGGCACGGTGTACAGCACCGAGAACACGCCGATGCGCACCATGAGCTTCTCCAGCTTGTCCGTGTTCTCCCCGCCCGTCTTCATCACCCGGCGGATGTGGAAGAGGGCCACGAAGCCCGACAGGATGAAGGACGTGCCGAGGACGAGGTAGCAGGCCAGGGGGACGAGCACGAAGCCGGTGAGCGCGTTCACGTCCATGCTGCCCACGTAGCAGACGCCGGTGAGCTCGTCGCCCGCCACCCTGCGCAGCACCAGGATCAGGATGGTCTTCACGGCGGGGATGGCCCAGGCCGCCAGGTGGAAGTAGCTGCTGTTGGCCTCGATGGCCTCGTGGCCCCACTTCTTGCCGGCGGCCAGGAACCAGGTGAGCGTGAGGATCACCCACCAGAGCGAGCTGGCCATGCCGAAGTAGTAGAGCACCAGGAAGACGAGGGTGCAGCCCGTGCTCTCCAGCCCCTCCTGGATGACGTAGAGCTGCCCGCTGTCCCGGTCGCAGGCGATGCTCTCGGCGCCGGCGAAGAGGCGGATGATGTACCCCAGCGAGGACACGCAGTAGCACATGGAGAGGAAGATGATGGGGCGCTCGGGGTAGCGGAAGCGGTCGGGGTCGATGAGGAAGGTGAGCACCGTGAAGGCGCTGGAGAAGAAGCAGAGGACGGCCCACACCGCCAGCCAGACCACGGCGAACCGCTTGTCGTCGCGGCTCCAGTACACGTCCACGCCGGGCGTGCAGAGCGGCGCGCAGGACGCGCTCTTCTCCACGTGGTGGAACTTGCCGGGGTTGGCGCAGCCGGCGCGCCCCGGACCCCCGTCCTTCGGCGGGTGCTCCTGCGCGCCCGGGGGCCGCTGCGGCCGGAAGAGCGGCGGGAACATGCCCGAGCCGCGCGCCGGCTCCTCCGAGCCGTTGCTGGGCGCCTCCATGCACAGGTAGTTGGGGTCGTTCTTGTTGGGGAGTTTGCTGCAGTCCAGCGAGTCGGGCCACTTGAAGTTGAACTGCTCCATGATCGGGGAGCACTTGAGCCGGGCCTGCTCGCACATGACGCGGCACGCGGGGATGGGGGCGGAGACCTGCTCGGTGCACATGGGCGCGTACAGCGAGCACAGGAAGAAGCGGAGGTGGCCGTGGCAGCCGTACTCCACGAGCGGCGCGAACTCGTGCAGCTGGATGGCGGCCTCGCGCTGGTTCTCGTGGCCCATCAGGTTGGGCATGCGGGTCGTGTTGTAGCCGATGTCCTTGCACATCGGGATCTCCACGGGCTGGCACTTGCCGTCGCCCGGGCGCTCCATGTCCATGGAGCTGATGGCGGCGCACGACCCCATCACCTGCAGGACCAGCCACAGGCGGGGACCCGGGCGCTGCTGCATGGTGGCGTCGGAGGCGCCCCCGGCGCGGGGAGGTCCGCCGCCCTCAGAGCCGCCGCTCCCGGGCTCGGGTCGCCGGCCCCGGCTCCGCGTCCTGGCCCGGGCCCCCGCCCATGCCCGCCCAGCCTGGCCCCGCTCCCCGAGCCCGGCCTCCGCCGAGGTGGGACCGCGGAGCGGAGGAGCGCAGCTGGCGAACAATACCGGGAAGCGAGGGGAGCCCCGGAGCCCTCGGCGAGGCGGCCGGCGCGGGCTGCGCGTCTCTGCCAGCAAACTTTGGCCTCTTCTGGGGGCTCCCGGGCGGCGCGTCCGGAGCGGGCGGGCGGCGCGGGCGCACGGTGGCCGGGCCAGCGCCGCGGCTCCTCCCCACCCCCGCCGGCCTCGGCCGGGCCCAGCCCGCAGCTGTTCCGAGGTTTGCGTCCCGGGGTGAGAAGACTCGCAAAGAGGCGAAGGGGGAAAAGCCGAGTGGTGACAGGCCCCGCCCCCGGGCGCGCGCCCCGCCTCCGCCGCTGCTTTGCATGAGAAAGCGGGGCCGCCCGGTCGCCTGCTCTTGCGCCCGGCCGCCGGCTCCGGGCCCCGCGGGACGCAGCGCTGTCCCGCCTGCGCCGCCGCCCGGCCGGGACACCCCGCCTGGCGCCTCCGTCTGTCCTGCCCGCCTCTCCTTTGCTCTCCCTCCGCCGGCCTCCAACTTTGCTCTCGCCGCCTCCCGCCTGCGCCCCCCCCTTGCCGGGGGACCCCCTCGAGATCGTCCCGGGCACCCTGGGCCTCTCGCCGCCTCCCGCCAGCGCCCCCTTTCCCGGCGAACCCCAACCCAAGGGCACCGAGGTTACTGGAAGTTCGGAGGCTGGCCGGAGAGGGGGTGGGGTGCCCGCGGCAGGGGGCTGGGGGCGCATCTTCCCTGGTTTTTATGGTGGGTCCCGGGCAGAGGGCGCTTTCAAAGCGAGGTGGGATTTGCGTTTTACAGCCTTGGCCATAAAGTGGCCCTCGGGCTTGTAAACCCGCCCGCGGCGTCCCGAGCTGGGAGTCGCCAGGCCTGCGCGCGGCTGCGGCCCCGGCCCCGGCTCCGGCTCCGGGGAGGGCCTGCCTTTGAAATTTCAAAGCGACGAGCCGAGAGCCGGGGGGAGGGGCTCTGGGAATCCAGATTTTAGGGCCGCTCCGGCGAGGTCTCCGCGGAGAGGGCGGGGCGGGGAGGGGGAGGGGGAGGGGCAGGGCGCCTCCTGCGGCTCTGACGTCCCCGCGAGGTGGGGGCTTGGCTCGCAGGGTGGAGGGGCGACCCCCGCCCCCCACAGCGCCGCGGAGTTGAGCGGCCTCGCGCCAGGCAGGGCCCGTGATTCCTTCGAGGAGGCCGAGCTTATTTTCCCAGGAAGTCGTTCGCTCGTCGGGTCTTTATATCATTGGGCGAGTCATCTGCCCGGCCTGCGGCCTCCTGGGGTGCAGACCCGCAAGGTGGCGCGGAGTTGGGGGCGACGGGTCGGAGGTCGCGGCGGTCAGCTGGGTCCGGGGCCCCCCACTCTGTTTTCGTAGAAAGTGGACCGGGCGCCCCAGACGAAGGCCCTTTGCTCGCCCGCTCGGATGGGAACGGTTTGCGCCCGGGACTCGTAGGACGCCCCCGCCCCGCCCCCGCCCCCGCCCCGGGCCTGAGCGCTGGGCCCGGCCTGCAAAGAACGTGCAAAGCGCTTCACCCGGCAACGCGCATTAACCCTTCCATAAGCAGTGCCCCCGGGGGTGGCCGCGGCTCTCTCCTGTCTCAGACGCCCTCGACGTCAGGGTCTCGTCAAGTTTTCCTGGAACTCCCAGGATCTCGCCTGTAGGCGGCAGCCGGGGGGCTTCGCCGCGGGGAGAGGAGGTCGGAGGGCCCAGCCCTGTTCTCCCGGCCTTTTCCGTCTCCTCCCATCCGCAGGGGACCCTGGGGAGGGGTGCCGAGTGTGCGGCCGCCCCCCGGGGTGGTGCCGGGCCTCAGAGGGAGGCGCTGCGGGTGAGCCCAGTGTCTCCCAGAAGAGGGGGTGGGGGGGCGGAGCAGCGGTGGCCGGAGAGGGGCACTTCCTCTGGAAGTTGGCTTTTCAGAACCTTGCGTTTTTATTGCAAACAAGGCGTGGGATTTTCCATGCTGAAGACACCTGGAGACTTCACACGTCCACTCGTTCATTCACCCTGCCTTCTTTCAGTGCATGCATGCATCCATCCATCCGTCCATCCTTTTCCTCCCTCCCTCCCTCCCTCCCTCCTTCCCTCCCTTCCATCCATCCATCCGTCCATCCATCCATCCTTTTCCTCTCTCCCTCCCTCCCTCCCTCCCTCCCTCCTTCCCTCCCTTCCATCCGTCCATCCATCCATCCTTTTCCTCCCTCCCTCCCTCCCTCCCTTCCATCCATCCATCCATCCTTCCATCCACCCACCCACCCACCGGCCTTTCTGCCCATCCACGCATCCTTCCCTCTGCCCTTTCTGTCTTCCTTCTACCCACTGTCCACCCATCCATCCACTCACCCGTCCTTCCCTCCACCCGGCAAACACGCCGGGACTGTGGGTCGGCCCTTGGTCCCGAGTCACGGTCCCCGGGATGCTGGGTGCCGGTGGTGGTGGTGGTGGGGTGCCGGGGAAGGCTGGGGCGAGGAGGAAGCCCACACACACACACACACACACACACGGCCGCGGCCACAGCCACCGGCCTCAACGTGCTGTCACCCCGTCCTCGGAACAGCGCACGCTTTTTCAGAGCCTGCCATTTTTCCTAGGTTATTTGTTTTATTGTTGAACAGTGAGCTATTTTCAAAACCTGAAGTTGAAAAAGCCTCAGTGAACATCAGTTGGCTTTTCTAGAATTTTCCTGGCGGAGGCCCTTCACTGGGCACCATTTTTTTTTTCTTTTCTTTTTTTGTTTCTGTTTCTCAGAACCTACCCGGGGGGGCGGGGGGGAAACCATTGTGCAGAGTTCAGGGCGCTGCCAGGCACCAGGAGGGGGTGCGGGCCGTGCGAGAAGTGCCTCCTAATTGATCTTTTATGTGCCGTTTTAATTCAGCCATGTTCAGACCCATTATTTTAGCTATAACCACTTCAGATCGCTTTCTTCTCTCGTTTTCAGAAAAATGTCGGCGAGGGCCGCGCTCTGCCCAGCCGAGGTGGAAACCAACACATAGACATTGTCGCAGAGAAAGGAGCGCGCCGAGAAATCAGCTGGGGCCAGATAACTCTGTGACTAATAAATGAAAAGGGCCTTTTGATGGCTCCAGCTGAAAAGATATTTTATTTTATTTTATTTTCCCGGGTGTGGGGTTGGAGATGTGTGACTGCAGGGAGCTGCGGGGTCCCCTGCTGCTCGCCTGGGCTGCCAGCCGGCCCTCCTCTGGCAAATGTTGTGGAGCACGGGGAGGGGTTTTATGGCTGTCTTCCCCCTCGGCTCTTTTTTCTTTTGTCTTCTTTGAAGAATGACTTTAGACATTTTATTTACATATTTAACCACGGATGAAAGAGGGAGGAGAAAGCATTTGGGGCTGTCGTGGGAACAGTGATAGGTTTAAATTAATGGAGATCTTATTAGGCCTCTAAAATTTTGAGCAAAGGTTTTTCCACGAAACTTTACAATTAAACATGATGTCAGATAACATTTCGGGGGACAAGGCATTTTCTTTAAGGCCCCCATCACCCAAAATAGAAGCCTGGGAAAATTCTGGCCTTCAGCGTTCGCCGCCCTCGAGGTCTCGGGACCGTCCTGCCAGGAGAACAGAAGGCGGCATTTCGGGGGCCGGGCGTGAGTCAGGACGGGAACTGGGTGTTTCTTCAGGTGGGAGAGAGTGGAAGGGAGAGGGCCGGCTCCTCCCGTCCCGGTGAAGTCAGAGCATAAAGCACTTGGACACGGACGTCGCCGGGAATCAAAGTCGCGGCTCTCCCTGTGATGTTCCAGTCAGGGCCACTTACGCGCGCCGGTCAGGGTTCTCCGAAAGGAGATGAGAGGAAGCCCGAGCACCCTGTCCGAGATAAAAAAGGACTCACTTTCAGCCGCGGGAAGAAATTACACCTTTAGACGTAGCATGTGACCAGCTAATGGTGAGAGTGAGTGGCGGCGTCACCCACGGGGCCTGTGGAATGACACAGAGTGTGTCGGTCAAGTTCACAGAGGAAGGGGCTCGGGTTAGGTGGGTGCTTTTTCGGCGGAGTCCCCCTGCCCCCCCCAGGTTTGGGAAAGCTCTTGGCCATCGGGTTTGGCGGCCCAGTGAGGTGGGTGTTGTGTGACTTCTTTTCCGTCTTTGCACCCCATCAGGCGTGTCCCCAGTCCTCCCGTCCAATGGGAGCAGAAGAGGACCTACTCCCTCGTAGGCCCAGGGGCGGCCACGGGCACCGTGCGTGTCCCCAGCCCCAACCCCGTGGGTTACGTGTCTGCAGAAACTGATTGTCAGATTGAAAAGCAGAAGCATGGAAAATGCTATTTTCTAACCCGGGAGGCACACTCTGTCCCCCGCCCCACATTTTTCTCCAAGGAACCCCCCCCCGCCAGCCGTGACCTGATTGATGATCACTCAAGAAAACGGGAGGCAGTCGTCCCCCGCCCCCCCCGCCCCCCCAGGCCCGGTGCGAGTGGCAGCAAATGCAACAGGCGCAGAAGTTTTAATTGCACCCAACAACACGAGTCGGGAGCGGCGGCAGGGAGGGCAGCGCCGAGACACACACAGGAAAGCCCCGGCATCAGAGAACGGGCGGCTGCAGGTCCCGGTCCTCCGGCACAATTTAGGCAGCTATTTTAGGACCGCTTCCCTTGAAACGGGGTTTGAAATATGACCAAAGGTTCCACGGGGTGCCTCCGTGTGAATTGCAAATCAGAGCCTGCCTCTAATCTCCCTTTCAAGGCTGGCTTTGGATCGGTGGCCGGGCCGGGGCTCCCCACTGTTTCTGGCGCAGGGGGGACCATTCACGGGGGCCGCTTCTGGCCTCTATTCCCACACTCCAGAAAAACAACACCGCAGACAGGCGCCCTCCAACTAAATTAGATTAAACTCCTTCTCCACAGCGCGTTAGCCCTTTCACTGCCCGGCTGCCTGGATCCAGCGCCTCCTAATTTAAAGATACAGTGTTTCTTTTTCCTCGCCCGCCTGCCCGCCCGCTGCAAGGGCGGCCACAACAAACATACCAAAAAGGGGCGGGGGTGCGGGGAGCACAAAGGCGTCCGTGCTTCCCAGTTACAGGGACATCATCTGTTTACAATACAGGCCGGCTCAGCGCGAGCCCTCGGGGACACACGGACACTCGGACCCTTCACCGGGGACCGCACAGGCCCCTGGGGAAGGGCCTTGGGCCTGGGGTTCTGTGTGGGGCTGTTTCCTGAAGAATTACATATTTAAAAAAAATTTTAGGGAATTCCAGAATAATGAAATAATGAAACAGAAGTGGGGTTTTGTGTGTGTGTGTGTGTGCGTGTGTGCGTTTTATTTTGCATTTATATTCCGAACAGGTCTGAGGAACAGCCTGTGGGGGATGAGCTCATCTGATGGGAGATCAAACTTCATTTCTCGACGTAGTGGCTCTGCTCCTTTGTCCCCCGCCCCGTGGTCTGCGGTCTGCGCTGACTTCATTCCTCACCTTCCCATCTGTCTTCCCTCCGCGGCGCCCTCCTCCCCCACGGGGACCCTCGCACTGCCTCTTCCCACAGGACCACAGGGAGGCTCAGGGAGAGGTCGCCCCTCCCCCAGCATGGCTGCGGCCCCCCCCCGCCCCGGGGAGGGAGCCCTGTCCCACAGGGACAGAGCGGGACACCCACAAAGCTCGCCCTGACCCCAGGGGAGCGGCAGAGGACGACACCCCTGCTCTTGCACAGGGTGTGCTGGCGGGCTCTGAGAGCTCGGGGCCTGGACCACGGCAGCTGGCGGCACCAGGCCTCCAGGGACCCGAGCCCGATCCCCTC